CATAATTTTTGTAGGCTGCTTATAAGTTTATGTAAGTCTTATTTGGAGAATCGATAAAGAAGTAACCTTGAAGTCTTTCCTAATAAGTGGGAGAGTTTAAAACAGAACAAAATGTATAAAGGAGCTTGACACTAGTAATTCAACTTAACAATTAAATACTGTACCTCTGTTCTATACCCAGCACTGAGCTGAACATTATAGAGATTCAAAAAATGATATAAGATGGGATCCTTCTCTAGTGATAGCAACCTCACATTGATAAGCAAAACCTTACGTTTGCACTTTACAGTTACAGATTCTCAGTGCAACATGGGAGTGGAATTTTGTGTAGCCTTGTCAGTCATTTGGTGAACACAGAAAGCATTAGTTAGTCTTTGGTTCCTTTATATTTTGCTGTGCTTAATAAATCAGCTTCTCCTAGTTTATTCGTTAACACATTTAAGATGTAGTTTCTGCCCTTATCCTGCTCCAGAGCTGTGTGTGAAACAGGTTTTTTTTTTTTTTTTGGCACCTTTCTAATCCAAATCCAAATCAACACAAGAAACAAATTCAACCTAACAGAATCATTTCATGTTTTAAAAATATCTGTTCAGTTGCTCTTTTAACAGATATGAGACAATATGGCACCTTCAAAATAAAACAGATCACAAGATATCAGGGAGATAGAAACTCCTAACTGTGTAAAGACTTGTCATTTATGGCCAGCCTCAATCTGAACTGAGATTCCCTGGAGAATTACATCAACAGGCTAGAATAAAAGATCCAATCAGCCCAAGTAATTGAAATGTGAAATACTCGGAAATAAGAGCTTAGGATGAGAAAAAGGGACGGTTCTTCGCAGCAGAAGCCTGACTCGACCTGAATACCCACCCCATCTCACCAAATCAAGATGACATCCCAAACTTCGTGGAGTCCAAAAGCCCATCTGCTACCCATCCCGGGAGAGGCTGAAAATCTAATTTGCTGATCAAGACAGCTTTGATCTGGTGTGAGGCCTGGTGTCATCTCCTGTTTCCTTCACTCTGATGGGCAGAAATGATATTTTCTTGAGCAATCTGAGAAGTTCTGTGGAGAAAAATTCTGTTTCTGATTTGGGTAGTGAATTTGGGGAATTTAGAGCATGCAAGATGCTCCAGCGGGACCAAAACCAAATTCTGAGACATTCTAAAATGGAATTGAAACTTAATGTGCTTTATTGTTCTGTTTTCACATATCAACTCTCTGAATTCCCAGCCCCATGATGTGGGCCAACCGTTGAATGCAACTTTTCCTTTAAATTACACTGTCAGTTCTTGTATGCATGTGTTGTGATTAATGGGGTTACCCCATGTGGTTCCAGTTTGGGGAGCATCATTTTTCTTTAAAATTGCACGCTCCTTGGTGGTCTTTGCCTTTTCTTTCTAAAGATGGACATAAAAATTTCCTGGTGCTGTGCGTTCTCTTAATGATGAAAACCTGCCTTAGATCTTTCTGGTAATTTACACCTCAATATCTCGACCACTGACAGTAACTTCCTCTTGAAATGACCCAGCTGGAGTTTCCACTTAAAGCAGGATGAGAAGGGAGTGAGGATGTTTTTGTTTCTTTCTCTCCATTCCTTTTAACCTCCATCCTCTCCATCACCTTCCTGTTCCACTCCCTTTCTACCCCTACTCACTACTCAAGTTTCATTTAGTTAAAGTGATTGGAAATAAAAAGAAAAGCACAATGATGATGATGTGGAATTCCACAAACTTGCCTATATTAATAGCATTTAACAGTAAATTGGTGTTTATATATGAAAGTACTAAGTGGCTGTTTACTTAAGTATATATCATTTGTGTATATACTTGCGGATCCTATTTGGATGGAGCGTATTCCTATGGCCAACCCAACATCATAACATTTTTATTGTTCACTGGAGGTGAGGCTGGAGGTAGCTATTTATTACACTCGCACATGCTGCACACACTTGGCATCTCTATTCTGGATTTGTTTCTGTACATTGAAAGCGTCTGGTGCAGCTGAAGAATAAGCAAAATGAGCCAACTGAGAAAACATCATGAAAAATCTTGAATTCAGGCACAAGTCATTGGAAAAAAAAAAAAAACTTGGCAAAGGAATGTGACCGTGAGGGTGAGGTAAAATGAGAAAAATGCAGGCAAGGCCACCTCTCAACAACAGTATATCTGGAGACCTGGAAACAGGCTGCTGCTGGGGTATTTATACATTGACTTAGGGACCAGGCCTTTGGAAAATAAGGCTGCAAATTCACCCATCATTTCAAATGAAATAGAAATCACTTTTTAACAGTCCATCAATCCTACTTCTGAGTACATATCCAAAAGAATTGAAAACAGGATCTGAGGACTTCCCTGGTGGTGCCGTGGTTAAGAGTCCGCCTGCCAATGCAGGGGACACGAGTTTGAGCCCTGGTCCAGGAGGATCCCGCATGCCGCGGAGCGGCTAAGCCTAGTGCACCATGACTGCTGAGCCTGCGCTCTAGAGCCCGGGAGCCACAACTACTGAAGCCCATTTTCCTAGAGCCCGTGCTTCACCACAAGAGAAGCCACCGCAATGAGAAGCCCGCGCACCGCAATGAAGAGTAGCCCCCACTCACGGCAACTAGAGAAGGCCCTCGCGCAGCAACGAAGACCCAATGCTGCCATAAGGAAGGGAGGAAGGAAAAAAAAGAAAAGAAAAAAGAATTACGAAAAGGCCAGATGTGGGTCTAAAGGAGTTGGTCTTTAAAAAAAAAAAAAAAAAGAATTGAAAACAGGATCTGGAAGAGATATTTACACACCTCTGTTTATTGCAGCATTATTCACAATAGCCAAGAGGTGGAAGCAACCCAAATGCCAATTGACAGATGAATGAATAAAGAAAATATACTATATAATACAATGGAATATTATGCAGCCTAAAAAGAAGGAAATCCTGCCACATGCTACAACACAGTTGAGCCTTGAGGACGTTATTCTAAGTGAAATAAGCCAATCATAAAAAAGACAAATGCTGCATAATTCCACTTACATGAGGTACCTAGAGCAGTGACAGTCACAGAAGCAAGCAGTAGAATGGTGGTTGCCAGGGGCTGGGGAGGGGCCATGGGGAGGTGTTTAATGGGTAGAGTTTCAGTCAAGCAAGGTGAAAATGTCGTAGAGCTCTAGGATTGCACAGCAAAGTGCATATAATTAGCAATACTGTACTGTACACTTAAAAAGTTGCTAAAAGGGTAAATCTGTGTTATGTGTTTTTTTTTTTACCTGGCTCCCTCCAAAAAGAAATACCTTTTTAACATCAACAATTGAAAAATCTCAGAAGTTTCTTAATGTAGAAGTGGGTAGGGCTCTATTTACCCAGACATCTTGCGAACATCCACTGTGGAGGCTCAGAGGATGGCTAGCTAATCACGTCTGTGAATCTAGAAACAACTTGCCCTGCTTGCCAAACACGCAGTCGGGCTCTTGCCCAGCTCTCAGTTATGCCAGAAAAGAGTGCAAGGCTTGTCTCCTCTCTCCCACCACCTATCTATGTGGTTCTCTATATTTTTACTCTTTCTCCCATTTCTTTTGTATCAGTGCCTCTCTGGTATGGCTAATCTGGTAATATTAGTGGTGTCAAAAGGCATAAAGAACAGACAGCACTGATGGCCTCGTGTGAAACTGAATCACCAGGATGTCAGTCTCGATTCATGACAGATAATTAAAGAGCCCCTTCATACATCCTCACGTGACACTGAGGAAACTTTTAGGGGAGGACTCATGTCTAAACAGGTATGCAGTGCTTTCTTTCGGCGATGAGCAAATTTCTTTCCAAATCAGCTAATCTGCATTCTTCTCTTGAAGGATGCACCTTAGAAAAGCAAGGCTTTGTTTTCACCACCACTGTCCCCCTACACCTTTCTGATGACCTTTCACCTCCGTTTTCTTATCTGTAAAATATGGGCAATATACTTGTCTTGATGACTGAGAAAGCTTTACTAATGTCTTCCAATAACTACAGTGAGACTCCTAAGTTCATCTCACAAGCCTTGTAGCTTCCCAACAGGAGGGCTGTTAGTCCCAAGGGGGCAGAAAAGGATTCTTATCAGGAAGGGAGGATCTTAGATATTACAGTGGTTTGCAAAATTATATACCATAGTGCTTTATTTCTCTTGTTATGAAGATTCTGCATTTAATTTTTCTTCTTTCATGAAATGATCATGGAACAAAGGTTGAGAAACACTGCCCTTGCTGGTGGGCATGTTATTCAGCCACAACTGAAGTGAACTAGATTCAAACCAAGAGGAAAAAAATGATCTAGTTCTCACATTTTGATTTTTAAAAAATAGAAAATGGCTAATCTCCTGTAATATACAGGCATGCACTTAGAGCTGTTCATTTCACACCAAGTACACTGGATTCAACCTTGTTTTTAGTGTTTGTGTTAAATCTATCAGGAAGTCTTGGTTCATCCAAGTCACATTTCTGTGCATTCTAAAAATGAGTCTGTAAGCAAAGTTCCTTCTAGGGCAGAATAAATCTTTTGCTTGAAACCTGCAGCTTTTCCAATGTAATAGTTCTAGGAGGGCAGGAACAAGACCCTGTGCTTTTATTCATTATGCTAGGTGCTTAACTCAGTGTCTGTTTGTTGGATCAACATGTTTGATTATTTAAAATGTTGGAGTAATGAAAGAACTTTCGTTTTAACTAAAGCTGGGACCAGAGAGAGGCAAGTGAGGTGCCTAGGGTGTAAAATTTAAGGATACACTTGCACAACCCGTATGTTTCGGGCCAAAGGCTCACCTCAGTCCTCACCCTGGTTGTAACACAAGTGGAATCCAATTTCCAAACCCTCCCCTTTTCCGAGTTGATTTACACAGGCGATTCTCTGGAAGTGATACAGTCACAGGAGTGCAGGAGCAAGGAATTTAAAACAACTATTTCAACACCCCTCCAGTTTTATGAGTAAATTTCTTTTTACTTGCATGTGACTCACATTGACCCCAGAGCCCTAAATTTTCCACTTCTGTCTTCTAGATCACTACGGATCTGAGGCAGCGTTGCACGGACAACCACACTGGGACATCGGCCTCAGCCCCCATGGCTGCAGGCATCATTGCACTGGCCCTGGAAGCCAAGTAAGCCTTTATCTCCATATGTCTCCACTGGCGACAGCCCCTCAGCTCAAGGACAGTTTACCCCTTCGCTAGTATACAATCTTGAGCACAACAAGCCAGAATATAATCTTCCCAATTCCACCTTTAAAACTGCAAAGATTAGGCCTTAAGAAAAGCTTCCCCTCTGTTAAGGGAAAAGGCAACTTTTTTGGTTTTTATCTTCTTAAGAAATCAAACTGTGTAATTACTTTATTGTGGAGTCATAGTGCAAGCATGCCAGTTGGCTGTAACACTCTTGCCTTGTTGAGGTTTTTATTCTAGTTGGGGAATGTTCTGTGAATCTCAGAAAGCTTAGGTCTGCCCACTTCTGGTTCCTTTCCCTGCAGGACAGCAATGCAGCTCAGATTCCATGACAGTAGAACTGTCACAGACTCACTCTGGGGAGCAAAACACGTCAAGGTCATATGACAGGAGCCCAGGAAGAAAGACAACCCACTTAACTTAAATCCTTCTTAATGTAGTCAAATTTGGTGTTTAAAAGATCCCTTTGAAAGGCCCCCTCAGGTTATTTTAGGTTCTTAGGTTAGATTTATATGGTGGTAGGTCTCCTCTCTTCTTTCTCCAAGCACCAATAGATTAGTTTGTCTTAACTCTTTGAAAACCTAATAGAGATCTACACTCCCTTACCCTCAATTTCAAAAGCCAAAATAGCCTGAAAACTGAAAGTTGTTTTTTTGCACATTTGACACCAAAACTCATTTGATGGCAAAGCTTGCCCAGAACTGATTTGAAGCTATTTTCAGGCTTTATGTATTGTGAAAACTCATACATTTCACTATAGAAGCATTAATATCTTTGATTATGAGGTGCTAGCTTGGACCCCACTGGGAGTTTTGTGTACCATATGCTGTGGACATCATATCTGAAAAAATTTTGAATTCCGAACATATCTGGCCCAAAGATTTTATAAAAGGGATTGTGGGCCTGAACTCTGAGGCCATCCCTACAAGAGGATCATAACAAGAAGGAATTGAAGTAATGACATAACTGTTTTTCCAGAAATAGCCTTGCATCCCTGCCCTAGGGAGGAATGGAAAGATTCTTTCATATAAACCTGAGGTAGAGCCATAGCAGGTGACAGGGAAAGAATACAAGAATCATGATGAGACTCAGGTATTAATAAGAACAGTACAGTTTCATTCCCAGTACATATTGGCTTCCCAGCATTTACAGCTGACTCTCTATAACGCAGACAGCCTCTGTCAAGGCAGTTGGGCCTCAATGTAATATGGATTCGGTAAATTGCTAAGTCATGTGTAACTCCTTGGACTGAGACAGGCAGAAGAACACAGGCTCTGGATATGGTGCTATCTTAGTCCATTCAAGCTGCTGTAACAAAATACCATAAACCGAGTAGCTTATAAACAACAAACACTTATTTCTCACAGCTCTCGAAGCTGGAAAGTCCAAGGTCAAGGTGCCAGCAGACTTGGTGTCTGGCAAGGACCCACTTCCTAGTTGGCTTTACATGGTAGAAGAAAGGGGCAAGGGAGATCTCCGGATAAATGTCTCTTATAAGGGCACTGATCCCATTAAAGAGGGCTCCAGCCTTGTGACCTAATCACCTCCCAAAGGCCCTACCTCCTAATACTCTCACATTGGGTGTTAAGTTTCAACATACGAATTTTAAGGGGACACAAATATTCAGACCATTAGCAGGTACCATATCTTTTGGTGGCCTCCTGCCCCTAAGCATTGACATTGAGAGATATTTAAGCTCCCATCAATGTTTGGATTTCTTTTGTTTGGGCAGGGTTAAATATTAAATCATTTCAACATATTTTATCTTTTAAAGTGTTAAAAGTTTAGCGAGGAGCTGGCACTTATTCTATTCTCACTTTATAACTTTTCACTGGACTGTTCTGACAGCAGATTGAGTGTGTTTTTAATTTGGTGACTATACGTTGGATTTTGAAAAATATATCGTCTTCATTCTGAAATTCTGGGTTGTTTCTCTGGAATAGTCTCCTGTCCACAAACTACTAAAAAAAAAAAATCAGGAATTCTTCCTGCACCTCCCCATTTCCCAAAAAAAGGATATAATCTCAAATTTGGCAACCAAGTACCATAACTGTGGCTGTACAGCACATGCTACTCAGTTCCTTGAAATACTACTATAACACTAATATTTTCAACAATAATTCTTTTAACCACTATTTAAGCTCAAATGAAAAATCCTTAATTTTATGCCTCAAACAACACACTCAGTTGGATAAGGTTGCTTTGGGGCTGGGGAACACACTGTAAAGCTGCCTGTTTTCTTTCCCTTTGCATTTTGAGCTTTTTTTTTTTTTTTTTTTCGCGGTACGCGGGCCTCTCACCGCTGCGGCCTCTCCCGTCGCGGAGCACAGGCTCCGGACGCGCAGGCCCAGCGGCCACGGCCCACGGGCCCAGCCGCTCCGCGGCACGCGGGATCCTCCCGGACCGGGGCACGAACCCACGTCCCCTGCATCGGCAGGCGGACTCCCAACCACCGCGCCACGAGGGAAGCCCGAGCATTTTTTTAAGATTGATTTTTGCCAAAACTGCAATGGGTGGAAGGAAGGTCCTAGGATAGAGTTTATGTAGAAAATCCACTGTATTTTAAGATTTTAAACAGTCTAGTCCGATCATGCGGCCAAAGTATATAGTAAACAACCAGATCAGGTGAGAAAGAAGAAACCTTTCCTTGCATCTCTATCGGTTTGTTCTACAGGCCAATCTTTGCCTGTAAGTGAAGCTGAAAGTTGGGGGAAAGAGGTCTGGGTGCCTCAAGAGTGGGTCAGGCATGGATGTTAAACTAGCATCAATTAGCAATGGGCCTCCCACCAGACAAAAAAGTATCTAAATAGCAAAGAGCTCAAGTAACAGTGTACCAAGGTTGCAGTTGTTCTCAACAAAGCTAAGTTTAACCCTTGGTAAGTGTACCTCACCCAGTCACCCAGCCTCCACCACTAGCACTTCTTAACAACACTTAAACCTTGGTATTTTGAGATTCAGCCTTTGCTATCACAAGTTGAAGAGCCTGATAGTAGTTCCCTGTTATCCACGTTCCAAGACCCCCAGTGGATGCCTTTAACCACAGATAGTACCAAGCCCTCTATGTACTATGATTTTTCCTCTAAGTACATACCTATAACAAAGTTTAATTTATAAATTAGGCACAGTAAGAAATGAAGAACAGTAACTAAAAATAGAACAATTATAACAATATACTGTATTAAAAGTTATGTGAATGTGGTCTCTCTCAAAACATCTTATAGAACCATACTCATTCTTCTTGTGATGATGTGAGATGATAAAATGCCTCCGTGTTGAGATGAAGTGAGGTGAATGGCATAGGCATTGGGACGTAGTGTTAGGCTACTACTGACCTTCTGATGATACGTCAGAAGGAGGGGTCATCTTTGGGTAATCTGGATCATCACGCCATGGTTGGCGATCCCAGGTGGGACAGGGCTGGACAGTATGAGATTTCATTGCACTACTCAGAAGGCTGTACAATTTAAACTTATGAATTGTTTGTTTCTGGAATTTTCCATGTAATATTTTTAGACCATGGTTGACCATGCATAAATGAAACCGCAGAAAGAGAAGACAAGCATTGGGGCGGGGAGGTGGACCACTGTACTCCCTTATAAGGAGGGAAGAGAGAAAGCCAGAGCTGGGCAGAATTCTGGCCCAGGACTCTGTCCAGCACTTCAGATATTCACCCCCTGCTCAGGTCAGATGAGTCACTGGATGAGGCTGAGTGTTCAGCTGAAAAGCTGCAGGCGGGGACTGCCAGTCCCTATCCAGCTGCATATCCCAGCTCTTTCTGCCCGACAAGGAGAAATGCATCCTTTCTCCTAACGTCACTAGGTTACAGTAGTATATACTCAGGGAAAACTGCCACCTCCCAGCTTCTTTACAGCCTGCTTCCTTTACGTCCCCGCGTGCTTGCTTGCATTGGCACATTTGCCTGGATCAGTAGGACTGTGGGTCCTACTCTGGATGCTACTCCAACGGTTGACCTCTCTACATTGTGAGTCTTCTTACTCCCCTAAGGTTGGAGCTTTCCAAAAAATCTTCTTAGGAGACTAAGGGAAGAGAATATGAAAACAAAACATAGAAACAAGCTTAAAGTGTTCAGATCTCTTATCTGAATGCAACACAAGTTTGGTCATTAACTCTGCTGTGATAACTAATAGGACTCCCAGGCCATCCTTATCCTGTGCGGTATGTAAGAACATGTGTTGTAAGAAACTCCACTGTAACTAACACACCCCCAGATCCTTGGGTAAAAGTGTACCGCTCCCAAGACTGGAAGGATTCTCAGTTCTAAAAACCTACCTCCTTTCCTTTTTTGTCCTGAGTCTGAGCCTCTTTAAGCTCTACAGCCACCTCTGACAGTCTGATCATAACTTTGCCTTTCTAATTACTAAACAATTTCCTCCTGCTCCTAAAAATGTTACCTGGCTGCGAGAAGCTCTAACTGTTTTCCCTTCTAAAAATCAGGAGCAATTTCAGAATAAGAGAAAACACTGGCATCTTAAAAGAGAGGCAAGAAAACTGTTTCTGTTTCAGGGTACCCTCATCACATATGTATTGGTTCAGAGGTTTATAATATTTCTGTTGTTTGGCTTTTGTGGATTTGGGGGGAATTTTCTGGTCTTTTTCAGTTGAGTGGATAGGGAATATGTAATCAGTGATTACAAGTAAACTAATTATCATTTGGTCCATTGCTACTTAAAATAACATCTTTTTATATAGTGTAACTGAAAAAGTTTAAGTAAAGTAAGTGTCCTGGGAGCAGGTTTCTTTATTTTTTTTTATTGAAGTATAGTTGATTTGCAATGTTGTGTTAATTTCTGCTGTACAACAAAGTGATTCCGTTATACATGTATACACATTCTTTTTTTAATATTTTCCATTATGGTTTATCATAGGATACTGAATACAGTTCTCTGCTATACAGTAAAACCTTGTTGTCCATTCCATAT